GCTCCTGTCTGCCCCTGTCTGCTCCTGTCTGCTCCTGTCTGCCCCTGTCTGCTCCTGTCACTGATGATCCCTCTGTGGTTAAATAAAGAGTCTTTGTGAGCATCAAAATATCTAAATATCTGCTGTTTCGATCCATCTCCAAGAATATTTTTAGGTTTATTTGACTAAATCCTTTTGTGTAGGAGCTGCAGTTGTGTCACATTTTCACTGTTTTGAGTTTTTCATCATATTTCTGCACAAACTCAGTCGACTTTGAGAATCTGAGCCGTGATTTAGTTTTTGTTTTTCACTGAATCGTATCGAATCGATGTGAAATATTTCGTACTGAATCTAAAAGCGTATCGTATCGTGGCCTGTGTATCGTATCGGCAGCTTCTTCACGACACCCGGCGCGAGTACTCGGTGTGTACTTGTACTTGTTATTTACTCTGCTCCTGTGTTTAAAGTTTTTGGGCTCATCCTGTTTCAAGTTTGACTCTTTCTTTTTATTTATCCTGATCATTTTGTCTTTTATTCTGGAGAAAGAGTCGAGTCTTTATTGTGTTTCTCTTCTCGGTAACACTTTTTAATAACTACACCTTACTTACCCTTAATAAAGCATGAACAAAGACTTAATTAATAATGAACAAAGACTTAATTAATACTGATTCACACTTTGTAAATGTTTAATAAAGCATAATTCGTCTTCACTTTAGAAAACCTCTCAGAAAGACTTAACAGCTGCCTGAATGATCATTACATTACATTATTAGTAAATCATTATCTCATAGTTTACTAATGATTAATAAATGCTCAAATGGTTAGTTCATGAGTAATTAAGTATGAAATAATTATGAGTAACTATTAACAGCACAGGCAAATTAAGTGCAAGTGCTAATTAAGGTAGTAATTAAGTAGTTACTAAGCGTGAATCATTATTAATTAAGTCTTTCTTCATGCTTTATTAAGGCTAAATAAGGTGTAGTTATTATAAAGTGTTACCTTCTCGTTTGTTTGGGATCAGCTCCATAAACTCGTCCTGTTCTTCTTCTCCTGGTGTAAAGTTCTTTCAGCTGAAACTCTCGTGTTTGAGGTTGAAAATCGGCTCGACTTTCTGAAGCTTTTGTGAAAATATTCTGTGATTTTTAGTTTATTTCCCGTGACAGAGACGAAAAGGCCCAAGAACCAGAAACCTGATGATCTCACCTCTGGGATACGGAAACAGAAATGTCTCAAAAAGATTTGTACAAATACAAAATATATATAAATATTCATACATTTACAAATATCCAAATACAAATATAAAAACATGACATATGAATAAATAAACACATTTGATTATTGCTTCTGCTTTTCTCTCGATGAGGAAACTTTGAGACGTTTAAAACCTCAAATATATTTACAAAAACACGTTTATTTATACAAATGTGTTTATTTATTTATATGTCACGTTTTTATATTTGTATTTTTATATTTATAAATGTATGAATATTTATGTCTATCACTTTTTATTTGTGTAAATCTTTTTGAGACAATTTTATCTCCGTATTGTTAGCTCCTCTGTTAGCTCGTGCATTAGCCTGTTAGCTCGTACATTAGCTTGTGTTAGCTCGTACATTAGCCTGTTAGCTCGTACATTAGCTTGTGTTAGCTCGTACATTAGCTTGTGTTAGCTCGTGCATTAGCCTGTTAGCTCGTACATTAGCCTCTGTTAGCTCGTGCATTAGCTTGTGTTAGCTCGTGCATTAGCCTGTTAGCTCGTACATTAGCGTCTGTTAGCTCGTGCATTAGCCTGTTAGCTCGTGCATTAGCCTGTTAGCTCGTGCATTAGCTGTTAGCTCGTACATTAGCCTGTTAGCTCGTGCATTAGCCTGTTAGCTCGTGCATTAGCCTGTTAGCTCGTGCATTAGCCTGTTAGCTCGTGCATTAGCCTGTTAGCTCGTACATTAGCTTGTGTTAGCTCGTGCATTAGCCTGTTAGCTCGTGCATTAGCCTGTTAGCTCGTACATTAGCTTGTGTTAGCTTTGTGACTGACCCTGGTTTTTTCTCCACAGCGTGATAAGCCCCGCCCTCTCCCAGCGTCACTATAGCAACAGGTAACTATGCCCCGCCCTCCGCCGCTTTCCCCGGCTCTGATTGGCTCGTGTGCCTCTCTCATCGTCCAATCAGCCGCTCTCATTTTCCCACCTTTTCACATTCGGAGCCGTTTATTTTATTTATTCATTCATTTATTTATTTATTTTGAAATCCTGCTGCTTCCTGTGGCATGGCTTCACTTCCTGTCGCCGCTTCACCTCCATCGCTCCATCGCTTCCTCCATCCATCGCTCCATCGCTTCATCCATCGCTCCATCGCACGACAAACTTTTGCTCTTCGATGTTTAGTTTTATTTATTTTATTTTAATTTTTGTGGCGCTTCGTGTTTTTGATCGACTCTTGAGTCAAACCGAACTCTCCGCAAACGAAGCCACGACCGAATAAGGACGTCCTTCCTGGTCGTGCGTTTGACGTAGAGCCGCCGCTCCATCAGCATGCTAACGTGCACCTCCTGATTCTCTCACAGTGAAAGGCTTCAGTGCGACGCGCTCGTTTTCAAATCTCATTTAGACGCTTCTACTAACAATTACTACAAGTACTATTACAAGTACTATTACTATTACTACTATTAATATTACAAGTACTATTACTAATACTACTGCTACTACTACTTCTACTATTACTACTACTACTACTATTACTACTACTATTACTATTACTACTGCTACTACTACTTCTACTACTACTGCTACTATTACTACTACTACTACTGTTATTACTACTATGACTACTTTTACTATTTCTACTACTTTTATTACTACTATTACTATTACTATTACTACTACTGCTACTACTACTACTACTACTATTACTACAGTACTTTTACTGTTCCTCGTCCTTTTCCTCTTGTTTTTTGTTTCTCGTTTGTTTCTCGTTTGTTTCTCGTTCTTGTTGTTTGTTGTTGTTTTTGTGGGAGGGCATCTGACACTTTGGGGGAGACATTTTGTGACACGTCGTCGTCATCAGTCTGTTTGTTCATCACTTCATCCCTCCATCCTTCTCCTCCTCCTCTCCTCTTTCTCCTTATTCTCTCCTTCTCCTCTTTCTCTCTCTCTTCACTCTCTTCTTCTCCTCTTCCCCCTCCCCCTCTCTGCCCTTTCTTAACCCCTCCCTCTCTCTGTCTCTCTCTCTCTGTCTCTCTCTCTCTCTCTCTCTCTCTCTCTCTCTCTCTCTCTCTCTCTCTCTCTCTCTCTCTCTCTTTCTGTGTGAGAGGTTGATGGTTCTGAACAGATGCAGGACACTCCTGTTACACCCCCCACTGCCCCCCCCCCCCCCCCCCCACTGCCCCCCCACCCTGACCTCCTCCTCCACTCTCTCTCTCTCTCTCTCTCTCTCTCTCTCTCTCTCTCTCTCTCTCTCTCATCTATCTCTCTCTTTCTCTTTTTCTCTCTTTTCTTTTGGTTTGAGGTGAGCACATGTTCTCCTGGTGGACACATGGAGAATTACAACCACACACACACAAACCCTGGACCTGGTCTGGGTCTGGATCTGGACCTGGTCTTTGTCTGGGTCTTGGTCTTGGTCTTGGTCTTGGTCTTGGTCTGGGTCTGGACTAAACCGTTTTGAGTCCTGGAGGTTCTTCCTGTGGGCCACTCTGACAGGAAGTGCCCATTACCTCTACTTCCTGTTTCTCCATCGCTCCGTCTCTGAAAAATAAACCCTTCTCTTTTTCGCGCCTTTTTGTTTCTTTCATTCACATCTTCTCCCTCTCTTCCTCTCCTCCTCCTCTCTCTCTCCTCACTTCTCCTTCTCTTCCTTCTCTTCCTCTTTCTTCTTCTCTCTTCTTTTCTTCTTCCAGTCATTCACATGTTTTAAACTGAGTCTTCTCTCTTTCCTCTCCTTCTCTTGTTCCTCTTGTTCTTTTGTCATTCCTCTTTCCTCTTGTTCCTCTCATTCTTCTCATTTCTCTCGTCCTGCTGTTTCTCTCGTTCTTTTCTCGTTCCTCTCATTCTTCTCTCTTTTCTCTCTCGTTCTTCTTTCGTTCTTCGTCTTGTTCTTTCTCTCATTCCTGTCGTTCTTCTTGTTCTTCTCTCGTTCTTCTCTCGTTCCTGTCGTTCTTCTTTCTTTCCTCTCGTTCTTCATCTCGTTCTTCTCTCTTTTCTCTCTCGTTCTTCTCTCGTTCCTGTCGTTCTTCTTTCTTTCCTCTCGTTCTTCTCTCTTTTCTCTCTCGTTCTTCTCTCGTTCCTGTCGTTCTTCTTTCTTTCCTCTCGTTCTTCTCTCTTTTCTCTCTCGTTCTTCTTTCGTTCTTCGTCTCATTCTTCGTCTTGTTCTTTGTCTCGTTCTTCTCTCATTCCTCTCGTTCTCTTCTTCATTCTTCTTCTCTCGTTCTTCTTCTTCGTTCTTCGTTCTTCGTTCTTCTCTGTCGTTCTTCTTCGTTCCTGTCGTTCTGTCGTTCTTCTTCGTTCTGTCGTCTCTCTCCTCGTTCCTGTCGTTCTTCTCTCGTTCCTGTCGTTCCTCTCGTTCCTGTCGTTCTTCTGTCGTTCTCTCTCGTTCCTGTCGTTCTTCTGTCGTTCCTGTCGTTCTTCTCTCTTTTCTCTCTCGTTCTTCTTTCGTTCTTCGTCTTGTTCTTTCTCTCGTTCCTGTCGTTCTTCTTTCTTTCCTCTCGTTCTTCTCTCTTTTCTCTCTCGTTCTTCTTTCGTTCTTCGTCTCATTCTTCGTCTTGTTCTTTGTCTCGTTCTTCTCTCATTCCTCTCGTTTCTCTCGTTCTTCTCTCGTTCTTCTGTCGTTCTTCTCGTTCTTCTCGTTCTTCTCTCGTTCTTCTGTCGTTCTTCTCATTCTTCTCTCGTTCTCTCTGTTCGTTCTGTCGTTCGTCGGCGTCGGTCGAGCGTTTTGCCCACAGACGTTCTCGTCTCTGGTTTGGTGTCGTGCTGTTGTCGTGTCGTCGAGCAAAACACTTGACTGTTTGTGTTTGTTGTTTGTTTCAGTGATGGAGACGAGCGAGGACCCGAGAGACCTGAGCCCCGACCAGAGTCCAGACCCCAAACCAGACCAGAGACCAGACCTGAAACCAGACCAGAGTCCAGACCAGAGTCCAGACCCAAAACCCGACCAGAGTCCAGACCTGAAACCACAAGAGGCCCACAACGGTACTGGTCCTGGTGTAGACCTGGTTTATTCCTGGTTTATTCCTGGTTTAGACTTGGTTTAGTCCTGGTTTAGTCCTGGTTTTAGACCTGGTTTAGTCCTGGTTTAGTCCTGGTTTTAGACCTGGTTTAGACCTGGTTTAGTCCTGGTTTAGTCCTGGTTTTAGACCTGGTTTAGACCTGGTTTAGTCCTGGTTTAGTCCTGGTTTTAGACCTGGTTTTAGACCTGGTTTAGACCTGGTTTAGTCCTGGTTTAGTCTTGGTTCTAATTTCGCACTTTGTCCACAGAAAAAATGAACGGTTTGTCAAATCCGGAAGAAAAATTAACAAACGGAGAATCAGAGGAACCCATGGAGACCGAACCGGAACCTGAGACCAAACCTGAGTCCAGACCAGAGTCCCGACCTGAGACCAGGCCCGAAACCCGACCCGAGTCCAGGCCAGAGTCCCGACCCGAGACCGGGGACCTGTCGTCCATAAACGAGATGATGTCAGCGGTGATGTCGTCGGGGGTGATGTCATCGTCGACCATAAATGGAGAGGGGGAGGAGCCATGTGAGAGCGCCGCGTCCGCCAACTCAGCCGGACCCTCGCCGAGGTCTCACACGCCACGAAACGCACAACAACACACGACGAAACACACGACGAAACACACGACGAAAACACGACGAAAACACGACGAAAAACGACGAAACACGACGAAAACACGACGAAAACACACAATGAAACACAACAAAATACAACAAAACACAACAAAACAAAACACGACAGAAACACAAAGAAACACAAGAAAATTAGAGCCTGACTGGAGTTTTTTGCGGCCGATGAGATTCTGATAAAACAGGAGCTGGAGGAGTCGACAGTCGATATAAAAGTCGATATAAAAGTTGAGATATTTAATGATGTAAAAATTCACTGTGAATCTTCAGTTGATTCTAAAACTCAGGTCTGACTCGACTCGACTCGACTGGATTTAAATTGTTTACGTTTCCTGTTCTTGTGCATCTTGTGCGTCAGATTTAAAGACACGAGGTCGAATAATGACATTTTTCCATCACATTCTAACATGTAAACAAAGTAAAACCTGCCCCCATCAGACACAGAACAGAGCCTCAGTCTGGCTCCTCCCACATCACAAGTCTGAACAAACAAGTGTCGTTTAATCCAGACGCTTCAGACACAAACACATGTAGTTTTGTTTTGAAGTTCACTTTTATTTCTCGTCAGTTTTGTGTTTAAAGTGTTGTGCACGTGTGTGTGAACATGTGCACATGTGTGTGAACATGTGCACGTGTGTGTGAACATGTGCACGTGTGTGTGAACATGTGAACATGTGCGTGTGAACATGTGCACGTGTGTGTGCAAATAAATAAGTTTCATTTTTATTTTTGTCTTTTTTTCTTCAGTCCGTCTCCCACAAAGACTCTGACGTCGGCCATGAGAGCCCCGCCCAGCAGGAACCAGAGACGCACACAGGTCACACTCCTCTCCTCCGCCACATCTGTCCATCTCTCTCCTCTTCCTCCTCCTCTTCCTCCTCCCTCTTTCTCTTTCTCTGTCTTCTTCTCTCCTCCTTCCTCTCTCCTTTTATCTCACTTTTCTGTTTGTTCCTCTCTCTTTCTCTCTTCTCCTTCCTGCTCCTCTTCTTCTTTTTGCTCCTCTTTTCTTCTCTCTCTCTTTCTTCCTCTTCCTTCGTGTTTTGTTTTGCTCTCCTCCTCTCTTCACACTCCCCTCTCTCTCTCTCCTTCTCTCACTCTTTCTCTTTCTGTCTCTCTTTCTATCTCCTTCTGTCTCTCTCCTCCTCTTTCTCTCTCTCTCTCTTCTCTGTCATTCTCTCTCTCTCTCTTCTCTCTCTCTCTCTCTCTCTCTCTTCTCTCTCTCTCTCTCTCTCTTCCTCTTTCTCTCTTTCTAACTCTCTCTCTCTCCTTCTCTGTCATTCTCTCCCTCTCTCTTTCTCTTTCTCTTTCTGTTCTCTCGCCGCGGGCCACATTCCCGTCGGCGTCATCACTTCCTGTCCGCACAGGAAACAGGAAGTGTAGCTTTCATTGTGACGGAGGAATTCTCTGTCCCTGAGTCAGAATCAGTTTGAGCTTCAGCTTCAGTTTCACGTTTAGACACAGTTTAAGTTTTATACTTTATCAACAAAATAAAATAATAAAAAAATATATAAAAAAAATAAATATAAATATAGAAACCAGATCCTCATGTTCCTCAGGTCTGGATTCTAAAACAGTCCCACTGTCAGGACAGAACGAAACCTTTAGAACCTCCAGAACCTCTAGAACCTTTAGAACCTTTAGAACGTTTAGAACGTTTCCTGAATCTGTTTAAATGATCTGGATCAGAACAAGTACAAGACACAGAGACTAGAACACACACAGTCCTGGTTTAGTCCTGGTTTAGTCCTGGTTTAGTCCTGGTTTAGTCCTGGTTTAGTCCTGGTTTAGTCCTGGTTTAGTCCTGGTTTAGTCCTGGTTTAGTCCTGGTTTAGTCACACAGATTTAAAGACACTTGGGAACAGAAAATTTGGAAAATTTGGAAAACATGGGTTGAATGTGGAAAATCACAGATCATCTAAAGAGGATTTTTCTGTGTGTGTGTGTGTGTGTGTGTGTGTGTGTGTGTGTGTGTGTGTGTGTGTGTGTGTGTGTGTGTGTGTGTGTGTGTGTGTGTGTGTGTGTGTGTGTGTGTGTGTGTGTGTGTGTGTGTGTGTGTGTGTTGTGTGTGTGTGTGTGTGTGTGTGTGTGTGTGTGTGTGTGTGTGTGTGTGTGTGTGTGTGTGTGTGTGTGTGTGTGTGTGTGTGTGTGTGTGTGTGTGTGTGTGTGTGTGTGTGTGTGTGTGTGTGTGTGTGTGTGTGTGTTTGCGTGTGTGTGTGTGTGTGTGTGTGTGTGTGTGTGTGTGTGTGTGTTTGTGTGTGTGTGTGTTTGTGTGTGTGTGTGTGTTTGTGTGTGTGTGTGTGTGTGTGTGTGTGTGTG